GGAAATGTGAAGATTAAATAGCATTGCATTAGAAATGACACCACATCCAGACCTTCAATTAGATAGGTCCAAAGTAGAGTTCATACAGGATATGGAATACTAATTGTGAAATAAACAGCATCAATTTTTTTTTTTTTACATTCAGGCAGCTAAAATCCAAATGCCAGTAACCTCCTACTCAAATAAGAATTTAATTTTTTTAAGGCTGAATGATGTAAAAGTAACTGGGCTGTACTTATGCCAGCAGATGGGCACTAAGAAAGAGTTAAGGGCTCAGATTTTGGTGAAGTGAATCACTGATGGGAAGAATAAAACTAGAAACTAAAAGGTAACAAATACTGGCAACACAGATTTGTAAATACCACTAGGAAACAAACCATCAGCAGCATTTTAATTGAGTATTCCTTTCTTATGTATTATGTCTTTGGATATTTATAGCAATTCAGTAAGAACTCAGATAGCTAGATATGACTTTCTTAAATTTGTACACTTTAGAACTTTGACTACAATAGGAAAAGAGTCATTATATTTCAAGGAGAGATTTCTGGATTTAGAAAGCCACGGGTGTAAGGCAATGGTATATATCTCAAATTGAGAAAACATGATTCCCGTGGTTTCTCCCTCTTACAATGCCTGTCCTCTTTGCCTTTCTCAATGAGGATTGAGCATCTTACCCTGCGTCATCCTTCTTGCTTGGCTTCTTTAGGTGAAGGGATTTTAGTAGGTTTATCCTCTATTATATGGCTAATATCCACTTACATGTGAGTATACACCATGCACCTCTTCCTGCTTCTGGGATACATCACTCAGGATGATCTTTTCTAGTTCCCACAATTTGCCTGCAAATTTCATGATTTCCTTGTTTTAATTGCTGAGGAATATTCCATTGTGTATATTTACCACACTTGCTGTATCCATTCCTCAGGTGAAGGACATCTGGGTTGTTTCCAGATTCTGACTATTATGAAAAAAGCTGTTAGGAACATGTTTGAACAAATGTCTGGGTTCTATACTTGAGCATCTTTTGGATATATATCCAGGAGTGGTATAGTTGTATCTTGAGGTAGCACTATTCCTAATTGTCTGAGAAAGTGCCAGGTTGATTTACAAAGTGGTTGTACAAGTTTACATTCCCACCGACAAAGGAGGAGGGTTTCCCTTTCTCCATATCTTCTCCATCATGTGAGGTCACCTGTGTTTTTGATCTTAGCCATTCTGATGGGTGTAAGGTGAAATCTCAGGGTCGTTTTGGTTTGCATTTCCCTGATTACTAAGGATGTTGAACATTTCTTTAAGTGTTTCTCTGCCCTTCAATATTCCTCTATTGTAAGTCTTCTGTTTAACTCAGTACTCCATTTTTAATTGGATTACTTGATTTGTTCTCTTCGATTTCTTGATGTCTTCATATATCCTGGATACTAGCTCTCTGTCAGATAGAGGGCTGGTGAAGATCCTTTCCCAAACTGTAGGCTGTGGTTTTGTTCTGACAGCAGTGTCCTTTTCTGTACAGAAGCTTTTCAGTTTCATGAGGTCTAATTAGTGATTGTTGATCTTAGAGGCTGTGCTGTTGGTGTTCTGTTCAGGAAGTTGTCTTCTGTGCCAATTAGTTCAAGACTCTTCCTCTCTTTTTCTTCTAACAGGTTTAGTGTGTCTGGTTTTATACTGAGGTCTTTGATCCACTTGGGCTTTAGTGTTGTACAGGGTGCTTAATACAGATATATTTCTTTTTTTTTTCTTTTTTTTTTTGTATATGTAGTTGTCCAGTTAGACCAGCACCATTTGTTGAAGATGCTATCTTTTTTCAATTGTATGGTTTTGGCTTCTATGTCAAAAATCAAGCATTCATATGTGTGTCGGTTTTTTTCCGGGTCTTCTATTCAATTACATTGATCAACCATTCTGTTTTTCTGCCAGAATCATGAAATTTTTATTATACTTGCTCTGTAACACAGCTTGATATCAGGGATGGAGATACCTCCAGTAGATCTGTTGTTGAACAGGATTGTTTCAGAAGTACTGGGGTTTTTTGTTTGTTTTGTTTTGTTTTTCCATATGAAATTGAAAATTGTTCTTTCAAGTTGTGTAAAGAATATGTTGGTATCTTGATGAAAACTGCATTGAATTTGTAGATAGCTTTTGGTAGGATAACCTTTTTCATTATGTTAATTCCATGAACATAGGAGATCTTTCCATCCTTTGATGTCTTCGTCAATTTCTTTCTTCAGAGATGAAGTTTTTCCAAAAGGTCTTTCACTTGCTTGGTTAGAGTCACACCAAGGTACTTGATGTTTTTAGTGGCATTTGTGAAGGATCAGTTTCCATAGTTGTTTCTTTCTCAGCCCTTGTGTCTTTCATATGCAGGAGGGATACAGAATTTTAATTTTGTACCCAGCCACTTTGCTGACGGTGTTTATCACCTTTTAAAAAGAGTTCTCTGGTAGAATTTTTGGCCTCAGTCATGTATAGTATTATATCATCTGCAAATAGTAAAACTTTGAATTCTTCCTTTCCCATTTGTATCCCCTTGATCTCCCTTAGTGGTCTTATTGTTTTAGCAAGCACTTCAAGAATTATGTTCAAGAGATATGGATACAGTCGGCAGCCTTCCTTGTTCCTTATTTCAGTGGGATTGATTTAAGTTTCTCTCCATTTAGATTGATGTTGGCTATAGGCTTGCTGTATATTGCCTTTACTATGTTTATGTATGTCCCTTGTATTCCTGATTCTCCAAGACTATAAACATGAATGTGTATTGGATTTTGTCAAATGCTTTTCAGCATCTAAGGAGATGATCAAGTTGTTTTTCCCCTTTAGTTTGTCTATGAGGTGGATTACATTGATGGATTTCCACATATTGAACCACCCGTGCATGCCTGGGATGAAACTTACTTGGTCATGGTAGATGATATCTTTTATGTGTTCTTGGTTATGGTTTGCAAGTATTTTATTGAGTAATTTTGCATCAATGTTCATAAGAAAGATAGGTCTGAAGTTCTTTTTTTGTTGGGCCTTTGTCTTGTTTAGGTATCAAGGTGACTGTGGTTTTGAAAAGTGAGTTTGGTAATATTCCTTCTGTTTATATTTTGTGGAGTAGTTTGAAGAGAATTGGAGTTAGCTCTGGTAGAATTCTGCACTGAAACCATCTGGCTGTGGTCTTATTTTTGAAGGGAGATTTTGATGACTGCTTCTATTTACTTAGGGGATATAGGACTATTTAATCAATTTAACTGTTCTTGGTTTAGCTTTGGTAAATGAAATCTATCGAGAAAATTGTCCATTTCATTTAGATTTTAAAATTTTTTGGTGTATACACTTTTGAAGTAAGACCAAATGATTCTTTGAATTTCCTCAGAGTTTGTTCTTATGTACCCCTTTTCATTTCTGATTTTGTTGATTTGGATAGTTTTTCTCAGACTTTTAGTTTGGCTAAGGGCTTGTCTATCTTGTTGATTTTCACAAAGAACCAGAACTTGATCTAATTGAGTCTTTGAATTATTTTCTTTTTTTTTTCTAATGCATTTATTTGAGGTCTGAGTTTGATTATTTCCAATCATCTATTACTCTTGGGTGTGTCTGCTTCATTTTTTTTCCTACAGCTTTTAGGTGTGCCATTGTGTTGCTTGCATGATATGTCTCAAACTTCTTTCTTGAGGCACTTAATGTTATGAACTTTCCTATTAGTACAGCTTTCATTGTGTCCCATAAGTTTAGATAAGTCATGCCTTCATTTTCATTGAGTTTTAATAAATCTATAATTTCTTTTTTCATTTCTTCCTTAACCAAGCTATCATTGATTAGAGAGTTGATTAGTTTCCCTGTTTATGTAGATTTTTTTGTTATTTCTGTTTTTGCTGAGGTCTAGTTTTAGGTCTGATAGAATACAAGAGATTATTTTGATCTTGTATTTGTTGAGGTTTGCTTTGTACCCCATTATATGGTCAATTTTGGAGAAGGTTCCATGAAGTGCAGAAAAGAAGGTATATTCTTTTGATTTGTGTTGAAATGTTCTGTACACATCTATTAGGTCCATTTGATTGAGAACATCTGTAAGCGCCTTAATTCCCCTATTTAGTATTTGACTGGGTGATCTATCCCTTGGTAAGTGTGGAGTATTTGAAGTCTCCCATTATTAAGGTGTTGGAATCAATATGTGATATAAACTTTAAACTGTTTCAATTACAAATGCAGGCTCTCTTATATTTGAGGCCTAGATGTTCAGGATTGTGATGTCCTCATGGTGGATTTTTCTTTTGATGAGAATGAAGTGTACATCCTCATCTTTTTTGATTAATGTTGGTTGAAAGTCTATTTTATTAGATATTAGTATAGCTCCCCCAGCTTGTTTTGGGGGTCCATTTGCTTGAAAAACATTTTTCCTGCTTTTTACTCTGAGGTATTATTTATTTTTGTTGTAGAGGTGTATTTCTTGGATGCAGCAGAAGGCTGGACCCTGTTTCCACAACCATTCGGTTCTTTTTTGTCTTTTTATTGGAGAGTTGAAACCACTGATGTTGGTAGATATCAGTGACCAATGATTGTTCTTTCCTTTTATTGTGGAATTGGATGTGTTATAGTGTTTGTATGCTCATTTTTTTTTGCTTTTATGTTGTAAAGGTGTCTTTATCCTCTGATTTCCTGGGTGTACTTGATCTTGTTGGGATGGAGTTTTCCTTCTAGTATCTTCTGTAGGGCTGGGTAGCTGTGTATATTTGTTTAAATTTAATTATGTCATGGAGTATTTTGTTTTCTTCATCTATGTTGATTGAAATTTTTACTGGATATAGTAGTCTGTGTTGTCATCTGTGGTCTCTTAGTGTCTGTGTGACATCTGCCCAGTCCCTTCAGGCTTTCATGGTCTCTTTTGAGAAGTCTGGTGTGTTTCTGATAGGTCTGTCTTCATATGTTACTTGGCCTTTTTCCCTTGCTGCTTTTAATATTTTTCTTTGTTCTGTAGATTTCGTGTTTTTAATATTATGTGATACGAGGAGTTTTTTTCTGATAAAAATGTGGAATGTGTCATGAATTCATGTGTCATCCTTGTACAGGGGCCATGCTAATTTTCTCTGTATCATTCCAGTTTTAGTGTATGTGCTGCCAAAGTGAGCACTGATTGAATGTTTTAACCAATAAGAAGAAGTCTATTTTTCAGGGGTAATATTAGCCTATAGTTTACTTAATTATATTTCAAGAATGGTAAAAGTTGCTCATTTCAAATAAAAAGTTCTTCTGAGAAATTATTGTTTCCTGTTTTCTATGGAGAGAATAATTCAGGTGCCATGTTCTAATATGCAAGTGGGAGTGTTTGTGGTCTGAGATTGTCTGTATGGGTAGCAGTTTAATCATAGAGTTAGGAGATTCGGTTGGAAACTTAAATATTTTAAGTCATCATTTGTTACCTTCTTCAGGGGTTTCCGATATTTATGACTCCTAGAACAATTCTGCTGTTGATACAGTTGCAAAGCAATATAGTTAGACATAATCAGAAGATAATTTGAACGCAAGGACAACAAATAGAATGTCAAGAAGTAGTAAGTTGGCAGGAATAAAGGGATTCTTGACTTTGAATACCCACAGATAACATATTCTTGACCTTTAATTTAATCCTTCCATGTTGCATTATAGGAAGCTTGCCTGAAGTCTTTTTCATGAGGAAATCATTCCTGGATGAGGTTGTGAAGAAACATTTTAATTTGCCCAACTTTTCTTTCATAAGGCAATATTGTAAAGTTAATATGTTAATGGTGGTCATGGATTACTTTCTGGCTTTTACAATGATTCCAATACTTTGTAAATGGATATTTAAGTTGTAAATTCTGAGCTTTCTTTTTTAAAAAGCAAGCAACAGCATTCTGTCAAAATACTCTTTTGTACTTGCTTCATTACATTTATTTTTCTCTTATTCTAAATTAACCTCCTTTTTGTTACCCATAGGTACTAGCAATCATTTCCATTTTAAAAAGAGATGGACTTCAAAATTTAGACCTGAAAATAAGCCTGGAAGGAATTATCTTCAAATGGCAATAATCATTCTCTTTGAAGGATGAAATTTTATATGCTTTCTTTAAATTTTTTATTTAACTTTTATTAATTACACTTTATTCATTTTGTATCCCTCCATAAGCCCCTCCCTCCTCCCCTCCCGATCCCACCCTCCCTCACCTTTCTGCATGCATGCCCCTCCCCAAGTCCACTGATAGGGGAGGTACTCCTCTCCTTCTTTCTGATCTTAGTCTATTAGTTCTCATCAGAAGTGGCTGCATTGTCATCTTCTGTGGCCTGGTAAGGCTGCTCCCCCCTCAGGGGGAGGTATACCTCTTCATTTTTACATTTCAAATATAATCACACATGAACCTGTATTCCTTTATAACAGAAAACTAAGAATCATACCTCAATATAAAATAAAAACAGCCTTATCATTCTAATAACTCCTGAAAAAGAGCTCTGAAAAGGGAAAGATTTGCTACCTAGACAAGAAGGGAGGTCCTAAGATTTGTTTCAAGTACATTCCAAACACCTTCTTTATTGTTATAATATTTCTTCCCCTTAATCCAGATTTTCTTGATGCAATTGTATGTTTTCTTTCTCTTTCTTCCTTTCTTCTTTCCATTTACAAATTATTTTCACAAACTTATTTGCTGTTAGATGACAAATTTTTTCTCAACACAACTAATGTTTTATGTGAAATAGAATATAAAGCTTTCTTTCTAAAAAGATCTCAGTTAAGGTCGATAATTATGTATTTTATAAATATTTAAAATGAAAGATTTCAAAAACTGTCAGAAAAACCTGCATGCTATTGGTAATTATCTGAAGCTTTCCAAATTCTGTGTCATGTTGCACATGTTCAAGAAACACCAGGGAGCTGTTTCTTGTTCCCTGGGGGAAAAGGTATAAAACATTCAGGAAGATTTTTTAATTTTTCCTAAGTTATCATTGCGATGAAGGGAGAGTTGATAATTTTATTTGTAGAAGAGGTAGAGTTATAAAGATGAAAGTTAATATTAACATATAATCCATGTTTATAAATGGGTAAAATATGTTACATTTTAAACCCAGGTAGTGAGATATTGATAAAGAATATGCTGTTTTTCACAGTGATATAGCTATTATTTTCACACAGTGAAGATCCTAGAAATATCTTCAGGTGGAGAGCGAAGAATGCCTATTTAAATGTACATTATTATATAGGGGTCATAAGAGCAGTTGACCCCGGAGATGTGAAAGACTCCATAACCATGTTACAAGGCAACAAAATATTGTAAGAAGCCAGATAGATTCAAAGGGAATTTATTAGTCAGAAAACTATTTGTGAATATTTTTTTCTGAGAGGTCTGCGAAAAATCAGTTGTCATCAAGAAAGAATCCAAGGAGGAGAAAATGAGAACTTTAAGTAGGGTATAGAGTAATTAGGACTAGAAATCAAAAAGATGGATTAGGTCATATCTGTGAATGCGATTTCAGCTATAGATTTATCAGAGATTATTTGTATAAAAGAAATGAATTAGTACTTCCTTACCCATTGCTAGGTTCATGGTTTGGAACTCTAATAAAAATAAGATTAACAGAAGAAAAGCATAAACATTTATTTGATTTAACTATTATGTCATTTTCGGGATGTTTCAAACTACAGACCCAAACAAACAAACAAACAAACAAACAAACAATTAAGCTTGGACATTTCATGCTTATGTCTGGTAGGCGAGAGTTTGACGTGAGGGCACAAGTATATGATCTAATGGCAATAAAGAGGACAGCCACAACAAGGCTTTTTTCAGCTTCTTTGTACATCTATCTCATCGTTCAGTTTGTCTCCTATCCTCTGAGTAAAAAGAAGAAATCTGAATGAGGACTCCGTGACTTGATTCAAGGAAGAAAAGAACAATGAGCTTAGAAGTAACCTTGCAAGGTTTAAATATTCTATTCAGAGATGGGCAAAGGCCATTAAAAGTGATTTTCCTTCCTTTGCTGTTTTCATAAATACTAACATGTCATAATTTGTGTATCAGGGCATATAGGTCATCATGAACATGATATTTAGGGATGAGAGTAAAAGATAAGCCTAAGGAACCGCTTAAAATAGCTGAGATAACCTTCACTTGTGGATATAAGAAAATACAAAGCTATATTTGGAGAAAGATAAAATATTTTGCTTTGAATATACTGATTTTTTAAAGTTGGCAGAAATATAAGATACTACCAGTAGTTGGTATAATTGACATATTGACACTATGTTCGCAAGAAACTCTGATTTTCCAAATAAAACAAAATATATGACTATGAGGATCAAGGCAGTACTGATGAGACTATGAGCAGATATCAATGGTAAAGAACTCCTTCTTTCAACGGACTATAAGAAGGGGATAGGGTGGAAGAGGGAGGGAGGGTGAAACTTTGGGGAGTTTAGGGAGGAGGTTTCAATCATGATATATAAATGAATAAATTGTGAAGAAAAATTTAAAATGTTTTCTTAAAAAAGAATGTGGTAAATGAATATTAATTACCTAACTTCTTTTTTTAATTTTATTTATTCATTACTATTTTTTCTACTGTTTATCCTCTCTGCAGCCACTTCCCTTATGTCCTTCTAATCCCACCACCCTCCCTCTTCTCCCCCTATACTCTTTCCCTAGATCGCTGATAGGGGAGGACCTCCTCCTCTTCTATCTGACCGTAGCTTATCAGGTCTCATCAAAGCTGGCTACATCATCTTTCTCTGTGGCCTGTCAAGACTTACTCCCCCCCTAGTGGGAGGTGATCAAAGAGCCAGCGACTGAGTTCATGTCTGAGATAGCTCCTGTAACCCCTTACTAGAGAACCCACTTGGAAACTGAGCAGCCTATGGACTTCCTTTGAACAGGGGGTCTTGCTCCTCTCCATGCATGATCTTTGCTTGGAGCATCAGTCTCTTGGGCGTAGGCAGAAAAAAACTCTGAGGTTAGAGCTGCTCCAGTGTCCCACAGGCTTCCTTAAGAAAGTGGAGGATGGGATTTCGGTCCCAGGCCTGGGTCAGCTCAGCTCTGCATGGTTCACTGGCTGTGCTGGCCACAGTGTTTCTGACCCAGGAGGGCTAGGCTGCCGTGGAACATGCAGAAAGATTTCAGAGCCTAGAACAGCTAGAGTGCCCCCACAAACCTCCTTGGGGAGGAGGACAATGGAACTTGGGTCAGGTGCCTAATTCAGCTTCACTGGGTTCTCTGTCTGTGCTGGGCTCACTGATTTTGGCCTATGTGAGCCAGGCTGCTGAGGCACTGACGGATAGATCTCTTTGCCTAGAGATGCTCCAGTGTTCCAAGGGCTTGCCTTAGATAGTGGAGAATGGAACCTGGGTCCCAGGCCTAGCTCAGCTCTGCTGTGTTCACTGTTCTGTGCTGGCTGATTCTGATCTGGGTGAGCCAGGCAGGTGGGAAGTAGGCAGAGTAGAGCTATGCCTCCCTGCACAGTACCAGAATGTACCACCTCCACTGGGCAGTGAGAGTGAGAGCCACTAGCTGTTGAAGCGAGGAAGGAGTCCACAAGATGTTGAGTGTGATCTCCAGGGTTTGGGAACAGGAGCCTCTAGTACCCAGACGGTGGCCACAGGACTGTGAGATTGGGCACCCTGGTTAGGAGTCTCACCCACAGTACAGGAAGGTATTAACTCTATAGGCAGTGAGAGTGAGTGCCCAAGGTCAGAGAACCAGGCTCTGGTTCCAGGAAGAAATCCACAGAAGTGGGCTTAGGCAGTGGGTGTCCTAAAGCTGTGGGGTCACAACCCTGCATGCCCCGCTGCTGCCTGTCCCAGAAGGTATCATGGTGTGTTTGGGCGGGTGGGTGTCTTAAGGCTGTAGGTTAGAATCCCTGCATGCATGCTGCCTGTCACAGGAAAATATCCACTGATGGTGTTTTCAATGGGTGGCCTAGGGCTGCGGGGTCAGATCCAATCAAACTGCACCACTGTTCCCAGGAATGTATCCACATATTTTGAATTTGGGCTAGTAGCCTAGGCTTCAGGGTCAGTGCGCTGTGAACTGCCGCTGGTCCCAGGAAGGTAACCACAGATGATGGGATTAGGCAGGTGGCCTAGGACTGCTGCAGAGATGTGCCCAGGTGGGAGTCCAGGGAATTTAC